CTCCAGGAACTCGAAAATCACGATTCCAGTAAACTAGCAAGCCCTAACCAGCTCTGATACCACTTGTAATCGAAATTTAGGACCTAATACTTGTAGTTTACAACTAATCGAACACATATGAAACAAGAAACATCGAATCTTTTATATACTTTGTTAATCGAAGGAGTTCGGACTCAGTTTACCCAATATTTAAACCGACTAGCAACACTTACACACAACCTCGACCCAAACACTACCGACATCCACAGAAACGCACAATCAGCGCGATTAACAACCTAATCGAAAGAAATCTCAAGATTCTAAGCCTAAATCATCGCGGACAATCAATTACACCACGAACAGCCTATAAACATAGAATCGAGAAATCAAACCGAAGAACAGCTCTAGAACAAGCTGTAACACAACCACGGTGGATGAACTTCAAGTTCCGATGGCCAAACTCGCCGGAATGCACCAGACAGATCGATCGCGTTCGTCGGGAAAGCTAGGGCTCCAGAGAGTGAATATCGCGATAGAAGGAGTGAGGATTAATCTGTCTGTCTGAACCGGGAAGCAGGGTATATATATATCAGACCCCTTGGACCGGTTTGAGGGCGGTCCAGGGCGGTTCAGGCCAACTGAACCCATCCTCCAATTCATCACTCAATCGGGTCGAACCGCGGGCACGGGATCCGGGTTTCGATAGGTCGGGTCGGGTCGAAGTGTAATATGCACAAAACATCACAAATTTTATAACAGCAGACCAGATCCTTTGTGGGCAAAATGTTATAATTTTTTTAATATTTAGCTAATAAATTTTAATAAATAATAATGACATAATTATATATGAATTTAGATAGTTTTGGGGGGCAAATGGTATATAAATACATAAAAATTAATATTTTAATACTAAAAAAATCATAAAAAAATTTGGCTTGGGGGATGACCCCCAAGCTCTAGTGTAGTTCTGTCCCTGTGTGGGGATATGGGAATATAGTTTATTTTTTGGACCGAGGATCCCATGGGGTATGATAGTGATATAAATAGATGTTGATGTTTTTTTTTAATGTAAAATTACCTTTTAGTATAATATCGAATAAAAAAATTGTGCCAAAATTCTTGAACAAAACACACCTAATGACTAAAATCATAAAGACACCACTTATAAAATCAAAATTTTATTTTCGTCATTATCTTTCAAATGAATATGGTTATTGCGAAGCCAAACTATTTTTACCCAAAATTGAGGTTAATTTTCAGGCTCACCGTTATAATATAAAGATTAGCAATATGCACGGGTGATCTTTATTGTGAATAAAGAATCATTATAATAATAAAATATGGCTAATAATAACTTTTACTAGCATGATCCCAATGAAAGACTATTATTAATGTGTTTGTTTCCGGATTTAGGTTTTCAATAATAAAATTAAATTTGAATAGTAATTTTTTATTTTTTTTTATTTTAATGGTTGTTTTAAGTGATATAATTAGATATTAATGTGATATTTTGAATGTAAAATTAATTTTTATGTAATAGTATAAAATAAAATCAGTATTTGATGTGATTTTTTGGAAAACAAATTTGCTATATTTTATACCTTTTTGCTTTGTTAATTATAAGTTGATTTTTAAATCTAATAGTCAATGGCCTCTTTTTTTTAATTATTGATAACGTGAGAACTTGTAGCCGCTACTCTTAGGGTGCGCTCTGGGTAAAGCCCCGGTCGAACCTAATAGTCTGCAAACTAGGGCCGAGAAGGCAAGTCACACTAGGCGACAAGATCTGGAGGCGTAGAAGTTTAAATCCATGACCTCACAATTATGAGTCCATCCTCACACCACTAAATCATTTCTTATGGGACATGACCTCTTTTTACTTTGATGTATGATTTGATGTATGAAAATATGATGATGGTGCAATACATGTATTATTTGACTAAGATGGATTGTAACTATCGCATGCACAGGCATATATATATATATATATATACACAAACGGAACAACAATACTTATTCAACTCTTTAATTATGAAATATAAAAATTCATCTACATCACTCATATACGGTACAATACAAAATTCAAAATAAATATTGCTTTAAATCATGGACAATCAAAATAACTATAGCTAATTATAATATGTTTCCAATAACATATCATTAGTGAATTGATTTTTATTTTTAGTTAATTATTTGTTTCCTATTGACTCTATTTTTCTGCAATATGTGTTTCTTGTGTTTTAGTTTTTAGTTTTTTTTTTTCCTAGTGTATGTCTATTTTGGAGTTTTTCTAATATTTATTACAAATCGTACCAAAATAATCCAATTAAATTATGGGTATGTTTTTAAAAAAAAAATTGTAAACAAGATTTTTTATTATTTAATTTTATTTTTGCTTGAAATTTGAAGATAGTATTCTCTACAAAGGCATTCAAATCATTTCAGTTTAAACTATTTATTTATTTTAGTCAAGCAAAATATAAACCAGATTATTCATTTTGTATATCATTTCATGTTAGTAAGAAATCAAAATTGGTTATATTGATAATTATCTAGTTTAGGCAATCCTATAGTATTGGTTCCATGTAATTGTTATTGCAATATTTTATTAATAACAAATTATCAATACACAATTATGTATATTTTTCATTGCAATTGTTTTAATTTGTTTTATTTAATTAATTCCGGTTACATAATGAGAATATAATCTCTGTGATGTTCATAATTATTTAAATTTACAAAATACTATCATCAAATTTTGTATAATAATTACTTCAGTATTTTGTTAATATATATGAATTTATACAATAAGTGACAAGAATTTTCTCTCCTATTGAATTGCATTATATATTTCCATTTATGTTTCCATATTTTTGCTATAAATATATTTAAAATAAATTAATTAATCAACCAAACATATCCATTTTTAACCATGCAACAAAATTTAATGATGTGCATTAGAAAATGCTAATCCTCCGGGCACAAAAAGAGTCATTATACCATCCTCACTTATCCATTCAAAATTCAGATTTACGAAAAAGAATTAAGAAGCAAGTAAAATCGCTGCACACGGTATAGTTAACGTTGGTATGTTCTCTTATAGAAATTTCGTTTGTTTCCATTTGTGTTAGAAATTATATAATTGTTATAGTTCAATTATATCAACCGTTTTAAGTACATAATTTTCTTAGTTATTGATTTTTCAAAAGTGTCTTTATATTTTTATGCTATTGACTTTATAATTTAATAGATTATCTTTAGCGAATTCTTGTGAATATGTGGTTTATCATTGATTTACATTTTTACCATTAATCAAATTTAAATTTAAGAAATAATTTATTATTTTTTAGAACATTTTTGGTAATATAATTTTGAATGTTTTTGTTATTAGTTTTGTTTTTTTGGGAAATTCCATTTACAATTTTCTTTTTTAATCACAAATAAGATACTAAATTTCATATTTTCTTTACTCAAAATAAAATAAAGAAATGGCATTTTTAACTAAATAATGTCTAGATATTTAAATCTTAATATCTATAGTAATCTCTCAAAAAAATAATAAATATACAATAGTGTGATATATTCATAGAAATATAAATTTTGCCTTTCATGTGAGTACTAGGACTTATTATTGGTAGCCTATTTCTTGTCTATAATTTACATCAATTATATATATATATATATATTAATATTTACTTTTATTACACTATCATATTTTTTGAAAAATACAGTACATTGAACACTTTTTATATTTGTATGGCTACATGTATTGAATATATTTCAACACTCGAAACTTGTGTACATGAAATATATCATTCAGAAAATAGAGGATCATCAAAGTTTCCGCATTCGACTACTGAAAATTATGAAGATGATTTGTAGAAAGGACCAATTGAACTTGTTAGATTAAGGGTGTGTTTGTTTGGGGGATTGGATTTTAAATACACTATTCATCCCATTTTTTCCCTCCAAAAATATCAAATCAAACACCTATTATTTATTTTTTATATTATACTAAAAATCAATGTTACATTCAAAACATCACATTAACACCTATTTATATCACATCATACAACTATTCAAATTCAAAACTTTTATTATTCAAATCTCAATTCAAAATACAAACCCCAAACAAACATACCCCACATTCAACATTGGCATAATATCATACTCTCCACAGCCCCACCACACTTAGTTTTTCATCCATATATGGTATTGGTGCGACAAGGCTATCGAAGTAGTGGCTAATCCGTATTTGGTTTGATTTTAATCGATCTAGTCTTTTCTTGAATTGTTCCTATTCATATTGGCTTGAAAAACTGTTAATCAATCTTAAAACACTAAGTATTTTGTGCATAATAGAGTTCATGTCTTTTGAAAGAAATTCTACAATTAATTTTCTATTGTAATTGTGGATAGTTCATCACCCTAACACATAATAACATAATTGAAATTGTTGAGTAGAGAATAATTGACACACTCAATAATCTTAATACCGTCTTTCTATATATATAATATATAAATAATATAAAAAATAGTGATTAAATAAAAAAAATATGAAAAATAAACTTAACAAAAATTATACACACAGAGGAATATATCATTTGATATATGGAAAATAAAGAGTAAATTATAAGAAATTAATTAAAAAAAATTAGTAAGTATCAACAAAAGAAGAATCTAGAACAAAGTTGTTCTAGAAACATCTCTTTGGTGCTATAAAAAAACAGATGTATTGAGTAAGTGACCAACACACAAACATGACGAGTGTCTGATAGGATTCATTAGAAAATATATTTCTAATTGTTTTTTAAGATTTAAATCTCCTTTCGTAGTTCTTTCATTCTCTACACGTCGATTGTATATAGGTTCCGATTTGGCTGTGTTTTTTATATGTTTTTTTTTTTTTTTTGGGTTACATATAAAGTTTTTGTTTGAGCTATGAGATGAGATAGATGAGGGAGGCAGCAGATCCGATTCAGTTAGTTTTTTTTGAGACTCGATTAGGAATAGAACTATGGATGGTAGCGAGAGCATTCTTCGTTCATCTGGGCGGAGGCTTTGGGGATGAATCGACATCTACATCTGCTGCCAACGGTTGCTGCTTCCAGGGTACGTATATGTGTATATACGATTGACTGACTAATCATCTCTGTCTTTCTACTTTCTAAATTATGTAATTGTTGTTAATATATCAGATAAAGTCGATCTGATACAAAAGAAAGGAAAGGTACTCTCAAGTGAGAGGGAAAAAAAGGAAAACAAAAATTCGAATGGCTTCGGCAAGGAGGAAGTGAACTGTGCTGCAGAGGCACCAAAAGGATACAAAAAAGACTCATTGTGTGATCCTACTTCTGAGGTTTGGCTCCTAAATCAGAAAGAATCTTATTGGAGTTTAATAGAGTCCGAAAAGAGTAAGTTTTATTTTCGAGAATTACATCAGTTTATATACAATGATCAATTTATCTCTCACTTTTCCATCGATATATATCTACAGGGATGTCAAGGAGGAGAATAGAGAAAGTGTTGTTTAACGACAAGGAGGGAAATAGCCTCACTGCTGAAAGATCAGCAGAGCCTAAAATTATCATAAAAGGGAAGCGGAAAGTAGGAATTGGCTTTGGATGAAAAGGTACAAGATCTTAATACTCATGTCATAAAGTGAATGAATGAGGATGAGGATCATACACAGCCTTTTGTTTCTTCTTAAGTGATAAATAGAGTCTTTTATTTTGGGAGAATGAAAATAATATCTGTTTCATGACAGATTCAAGCTTCAATTTCCGAGACTTTTCGTCGCCAATCGGAAGCTCTATGGAAGAAAATGGCAACAACCAATGGAGCATTGACTTCAGCTGCAGGAAGTCAGGCCAACAACCGAAATCTGAGGCGTGGAAGAAACACTAGATGCAGTATAGTCTTTGCTTGTTGCCTGATGAATTACATTTGTGTTTACTTTATTAGCTTGTATTGAAATTTAATAGAAGGCTTATTATATCAAAGCATATTACTTGGAATGATGATGATGATGACATTAATTCAGAGATTTTTTTTCAGCATTATTATTGTAATTTTGTATATGTAATGAATGTCATATGTCTGTGTTATAAATTTTTGGGACGAGGTTGTCATCTTTCCTTCGATCGGGTATGTGTTATGCTATACTAAAATTAATAGAAATATGGTCTACAACAAATGCCCGTCTTTAACCTATATAGCTTCTTAGACTAAATAAAAAGCATGGAAACTGTTTTGAGTAGGCACACGAGCAAATGTATTTTTACTAAAAATTTGAACGAAAGGTGAAACTAAACTGATAATGGCGATGATGTGTTTTGTCTCCTAAATGAATATTTTTCGGTCAAGTGGTTTTCCAAAGAGTGGCTCTGCCACAATGGAAGAAAACTTCGATCAAAAAAGAACTTGATAAAATGCCTAACTGATATATCTGAATTCCTCCAAAACCCACAGGTATGGTTCAACAAACGTGAGTTATTTTTCTATTTATTTTATATCAGAAATCGGTGCAACGTAAGTCGGGGAGGAGGTGCAGAAGCAGCTTCTGAAGTAGGAGGTGCTGAAGAAGGTTTTGTAATAGGAGGTGAAGGAGCAGCTGCTGGAGCTTGAGTTGTAAGCTATTGCGGAAAAGTCTCACCCAGACCAGTACTCAAACACATTCCTCACCCAGACAAGTAATCATACGCATAGCCGGGGATATATCAGAAATGCGTGAGACATATGGTGGTCGAGTTGGGGTGTGACATTCTCCACATCATATGGTTAAGGGCATCGACAAGATCATGATCAAAGAAAGAAAAGATGTACAAGGCATGACACGGTTTGAGAGAAATCGATTCAAGAAAAGGAAACAACAACTCATCAAATTGAGCATTCCTTGTAATATAAGTACGAGTTGTACATGGATCGTAAAAACCCTTGTATGTTGGACTGTATCCCAAGAAAATAAATGGAGCACATTGCGGAGCAAGCTTGTGGGATGAATAGTCGCAAAAATTAGAGAATATGCGACATTGGAGGGCCACCAATTTACAACATTAGCTACATTTGCAGTGGCATCAAACCAAAAATGTGCCGTTGCGTGAGAGTGAAATAACATGGATAATCCCATTACAGTGGCACGCCAATGCTTGCGCTCAGTGCACCCTTTTTCCTGTGGAATATGAGGATACAAAATAAGATGATGGATACCTTTGGATTCAAAGAACGCACAAACCCGAGAGTTTGACAAATTCAGATCCCCAATCACTCTGCAATTATTTCATATTGGCCAAAACCTGAGTGCACACAAACAGATGAAATTCGATTAATATATCATAGAAATTTGACTTGGCATGTAAAGGGTAGAGCCTAGTAAAACATGAGAAGTAATCAACAAAAATAACATAATACCAAAATTCATCAATAGAGGTAGTGGGTGCAGGTCCCAGTAAGTCACAATGAATCAATTCTAACACAGTCGCAGCACATTTTTTGTTTACAGTAAAACTGAGTTTTTTTACTTTTACTGAACTGACATGAAGAGCAAATACAAGGAGATGGAATTATAGAGTCACGACAAGTGGCTTAAAACTAGCTATTGAGTGTTGTGAGTGAAAACAACAAGAAGAGCTTGTGTACCACGGTTCAAAACATACAACCCACGATCACAATGGCCCTATGCAATGGTTTTCTTTGTTGCATGATTCTGAATAACAAAGTTATTATCAGAGAATAACACATCAATGGGATAATCACATGTTAACTTGCTAATGGATAGCAGGTTCTTAGTTATGTGAGGAACCACCAATACATCATGTAAATGCATAACATTATTCAATAAAGAAGAACCTGTATGAGAGATAGGTAATAAAAACCCATTACCAACAACAACATTACCATTTCCAGAATAAGCAGTCATATGGGTCAATATGGAGAAGTCTAAAATCATCCGAGGATGGTCTGGAGAGATAGAAGAATGAGAGAAGGCCTATTTGAGGGCAAACCAAGCATCTCATGATGTTGTGCAGTCAATAACTTCGGCCATCACTTCTTTAGAGAGGGTGGAGAAGACGATGCTGAGAAGCTTTTGATCTGTTGTGAACTACATTGAGTCGTCGGGTTTGGGAGAAGAATTTCCCAATGTTTCAGTCACAGTAGGTGCAGGCGCCCTCTTAGAGCCGTCGACGAAATTCATCACAAGGCCAACATCAGTTCTCTGATCGGCAACTTTGATGATTACATCATCAAACAGAACACAATATGATTGTCCAGTGCGCCTTCTCCTCCGCGGTATTCCACTCTTCATCATCTACTTCTTTACCTCTCTGTTTTCCAGATAGGGGTGCCAAAAACCCATGCTGCTTCAGCAAAGATCGCATCTTCATCTGCCATAAGCCAAAACTATTTTTCCCCGTAAATTTGTCAACACTTATGTTGAAAGCAGACATTTTTTATCTACTCATGAAACCCTAGCAGAGCTAAAATAAACAAAAACCCTCGTAAAAAACGACCAGGCTCCAATACCAATTTGTTGTGACAGATAAGGTTTGATGATCAAATAACTAATTGAAAACTTAAAGAATACACAGAGATTTACGGGGTTCACCAACAATATGTTGGCTATATCCATGGACAGAAACGGAGAACAAATTTATTCACAATGGCAAGATTACATATTTCAGAGCCGAGCCCCTTGGCCACTTGTTAGAATGGGAATATATGCCTATTTATAGCATATGCTATGTCAATAATATCTAAATCATATGTCGAATCTAGAATATAATATCTAATATCCAAATCATATCTCTAAATCTAGGATATAATATATAATATCCAAATCATATCCCTAAATTCAAGGCATATCAACAAATCTTCATCTTTTGAATTGAATCTCACTTTTAGATGCATCATTACAATGGGGAATGAACACTTGGCACACTAGCTTCAAGGCATATCATCAGAAATTATGTAGATAATAATAAAAAAAAATAATGAGTGTGTGTACTATATTAGCGTTTTGGGGGGAATGTGTTGAAATTTTTTTAAAAACAAACAGACCCTAATTAGTTTTTAAACTAATGTTACACAAAAAAAAATTGTGTGTCTTACATGAAGATTAAAATGTTACCCTTGTATGTCAATAGTATATATAGTGTTTTTTTTTTTTTTTTCTCGCAAGTCTACTTTGATTATATAGGTTTGGTGGATTGATGTAAGGGCACTTGCTTAGATCAATTTGGCGATGTGAAAATAAAATTTTTTTATGACCTCATCATCATATATGTTGTTCTTTTGGAATTTTACCATTGGATTCATATGGTAAAAAGAACCATAGTTGTGAAATCCTCAAAACAAAGAGGGAAGAACGGTTTTAAGAAAGCCTAAATCTGCAAGTCGTAGTGATTTTGAAATATTGTAATTTCAACATGAGCTTTACTCTAAATTTAAAACATTATTATTTAGTTCGATTGATGTTTGTTTATGTGTTATCAAGAGCATAATTTTTTGCGGGTTGCAGGATCTATTTTGTTCAATAAATTTGTTCATATGCATCTTCATGTTGTTAACTTTCAACACTCAAGCATATTGAATGGAATCTAAAGGGAATATTTAGATGTTCATTTAATATTTTCATATTTCATAAGGAGTATGAATTTTTTCCTACTTTATATTAATCATTCATCACGATGACATACATGGCTTGCAGTAAAATTGTTGGTATTTTGTTTTTAAGAATTCAATTACTTTTAACCATCTTTACCTTATTATATAATCACTGATCAAAGAATTACCAAGGACGGAGAAGAGCATCATTGGTGCTCAAAGTGAACAAAGTTGGTTGTATATACCTCCTGGATGGGCTATCTACTTCTTATAATGGTGCAGGTAAGCAGCAAAGGGGAGAAGAAGAACTTAATCACATTGTTTGAGTAGAGGTAGGTGGTAACATTTTAAAAGCATTAACAAAAGTTTTATTATTTCATTATTACTAAGTATATTCTTGAAAGCATCTCCCATAATCTATCTTATTTTCGTTTTAGGAATTTTCTATTATTCTTCCATATGCATTATATGTTATGTCACTATAAAAAAGTTGAAATTTAGCTCAAAAAAAAGATTGTAGCAAAAATATTTTTGCGACCAAACTCATTTCGTTGCCTATACCACGTAATTAAAGGTCTTTGGCGACAAATATGACTTTCGTAACAAAAGATAAGTTTTTTTGCAATAAAAATTACGAATAGAGATATAACTACGAAAATATGATTTCGTAGCTAAAAATCTTTTGCAATAAAATTAAAATTTATAACTAAAGAGTTTTAGCAACAAAATATCTATGATTTTTGTAGCCAAATGATTTTCTCTGTGAAAAATAATTCTGTAGCTAAAATGTTTTTGCTATGAAGATAGAAATTTTTTTCTAGCAAAAAACCCCTTAAAATTTTTGTAAAAATTTCATTAAACATGCATATGAAAAATTATATATATCATTTTGATCGAAGCTACTATTGTTGGTTATGAAAATGAAAATTTTGAATTTATATTTAATTTGGATGATTTTTTTTGAAAAACATTAAAATATTAAGTCGGTCAAGTCTACGTTGGAGTCCGAATCTTGATCCAACATTAGAATTTATAATTTTAAATTTGCATACAGATATGCTCAATATTCTTTGGGTTTTCTCGGATCTATCTCGGGTCTGATCAAATTATAGTCAAACTTAATGAAATTTTGGATTTAAATATTTGTATTCAGTTTAAGTTTGTATTTATTCATAGTTAATTTATATACTACCATTTAAAATAGTATTGTGAAAAAGAATACATTGCATTTTTATGTAGGAATTATTTCAAAAGAAAATACATATATTTTTCTTTTAATAATATATTTGTGAAAATTTGTAAAATTATTTTAGATATTTATTATTTACCTAGATTAATTTTATGTGGACAAAGATTAAATATTGTTTTTTAATAACAT